CCAATTTTCCCATCTGCTTTTATGTGCCTGGTATATAGTGTGTGTTCAGTCATGTCTGACTCTTTGTGACCCCCTGGACTATAGTCCACCAGGCTCCTTGGTCCATGGGATTTTTTAGGCAAGAATACTGGAGTGGGTTGCTATCTCCTCCTCCAGGGGATCTTCCCAAGTGAAGTTGCTCAGTTGTGGCCAACTCATTGTGACCCCATGGACTGTAGCCCGCCAGACTCCTCCATCCATGGGTTTCTCCAGGCAAGAATACTGGAGTGGGTTACCATTTCCTTCTCCAGGGGATCTTCCCAACCCAGGGATCGAACCCGAGTCTCCTGAACTGCAGGCAGACTCTACCATCTGAGCCACCAGGGGCCCCCAGGATCTTCCTACCCCAGAGATCAAACCTGCATCTCCTGCATCTCCAACATTGGCAGGCAGATTCTTTATCACTGCACCACCTGGGAAGCCCGTCTAGTATATAGTAGGTGCCTGAGAAATGCATACTGAATGAGTCATTGAATGAAACTTTCTCCTGGCCACCAGCCCACATGGATCTGTCTCTGCTCAATAATCACTGAGCACCCACAACGTGCCAGGCACTAGACCTGGGGAGACAAATAGGACAGCAGTGTCACAGGCCTTGAGGGTCTCTGTCTCTGTCTAATGGGAAGATGGATGGACAAGCTGACTCAGTCCAATTCAGTGAGATGCCTGCTGTGATGAAGGTACGGACAGGCGTGCATCCCTCCAAGGGACACTGATTCTCTGTGGGTTAGACCAGGGCTGGATTCCCAGAGAAGGTGGCTCTGAGCCTCTGCAGGCTGGGAACAGATCATCAGGAGAGAGGGAGATCTCCTTCCCTTGGCCCAGATGCAACCCCCCTACTGGAGCTGCACTCCCTGAGGGCAGGGGTGAGGGTCAGAACCCCAGACCTTCCAGCCCTGAAGCCCTGGTGTGACTGCTGGCCTTCCCCTCCCTCCCGACCCCACCCCTGCTGAAAATAACGCAGAGCAGAGAATGGATGGAGGCCACAGTGAAACCCTCACCCTCATCACCCATGCTCCTGCTCAGTGCAGAAGGCCTGGGGTATGCAGACTTCAGGGCTGGAGGAAGGGAGGTGACAGTAACATGGGAGGCTGGGGGGATGAGCTCACCCAGGCCCCCTGACTCGCAGCAGTGTCTGCTCCCCCTAGGAGGATCACCCCTCTTCCCATCCTCACTTTTTGCCCTCTTCTTGAAAATGGAGCAGTTTGGGCCAGCGTGGGAACTGGATTTATCAGCAGAAAGAAGGTGCAAGGGAAAGACTAGGCTGGGGGTCTGGGGGAGACCTGTGAACATGAGCCAAGAGGGTCAGAGGCTGAAGGAGGGGCTGCTGGATCACGGGCTGGAGTGTGATCCTTGGAGAATAGGTCTCCATAAGTGCTTTGCTCCTCTGAGGGCAGCATGGTCCCCTACCCCAGCCTCAGGAATTAAAAGTGTGAGAGGGTATGTTTAGGGGTCCTGACAGGAGTTCACCCTAAAGCTTTTCATTTCCACTCTGTGCCCTCATCCATCGCTAGGTTCTCTGGCAGGACTTGGTGGCCTTCTGTCCCCTCCCCACGCTACCCACCGCCTCTGGAGAGGATCTGAAAGAGGGAGCCAGGAGCAGAGGGAGGGGTAAGCCTATGAATGAGGACTGACCCCTGTGCTTATCCTGGGGCTTCCAAGGGGCTCCACGCCTGGACTGAATCAATAAACAAGAATAACTGATGCCCAGGCAATGCTTACTGTGTCCTGAGCCCTGTTGTGACGTGTGCTCTTCACCGGAGACTCACAGCAACAATGCTAGGTGAGAAGTACTGTGATTCTCATCCTCATTTTGTAGTCTAGGATCTGAGGCTCAGAGAGGTTAAGAATTGCCCAGCATCACATAACTAGCAAGAGGTACAGCTGAGGGTTGGACCCCAGAAGTTGATTCCCGAGATGGCTAAGCTACACACAGCTGGAGGACAGACCAAGTGTATTCGGAGTTCAGAGCCTCAGATGCAGGTTCCAGGCAACAGTGGCAGGCTGCCAACCCACCCTCTGAGCCTGAGCTGCTTCTTCTGTGTAAGGGTCGAGGGAAGACCTCCCCAGGGGGCTGCTGGGAGGATTAAAGGGTTGGGAAATAATGACTGTAAAGCCCTGGCCAGTGCCCAGAACATTATAAACACACTGGCTGCTACCCTCGGTGTCCCCACTCTCTGGCTGGTGTCAGATCAGCTCTGACTCTCTCCAACTCTATCCTCCTGGCCTACACCAGCTCACGGAGAGTGGGAAGAGGATTCCTGTCCATGGAATGGTCACGATTCAGGGAACTGTGGAGCTGACATGCAGAGGCAGGTGAGTGAGCAGAGCACAGAACATCCAGAGAGCCCAAGGACAGTTGGGGAATCAAGTTCATTGTCTGGAGGTGGGGGATAGGGGACAGACCATCAGACCCCTTTCTCAGACACACACACACACACACACACCATGCATGCATGCACCCAAGCTTCTGAAAAACTGCCCCCAGGGATACTCACCCACAGTGACCGGCTGACCACTTGCAGGAACTTCAGTAGTGGACAGATTGAGCAGACTCCGGGCACCTGTTAGAAAGCACCGCTCATTCACTCAGCACAAGCACCCAAGCACCTGGGTGGCTGGGCTTTGTGCTAGAAAGTGGACAGGACAGACAAGTGGCCTAAAACTGGGGGCGTGTTCCCACCGGGGCACATGGCTGAGTCCCACACTCCACAATAAAGAGGATCTGATGGATTAAAGGCAAGGATGATTCTTTGGTTAAAATAAAGGGCTAATGAAAGAATTAGCCTTTCCTTCTGTATAACCTGCTAGAGAACACAAATATTTCCATCTTGTATTGAATTTGTTCTTCACACCTGCCTCAGGAAGTCTCATCATTATCATAATCATTTGACTGGTAAGGGAGGGGGCTTACAACATTCCATAGTGGATACTGTCTGATTTCCTAACTACTCTGTGAAGTGCCTGGTATCAACATCTGCATATTCATGAATGAAGCCTCCCAGCTGGTAATTAGCAGAGCCGGAATTCATAGCCTGATGTCTGAACTCCACAGAGATGCTGACACTGTGTTTGTTCAAGTCTAATGCTTTTGCTTCTTCACATTTTAACACCTCGGAAATAGGGGTGGTAATATCAATCAATTCAATTGATGGCACATCAAGAGTTTATTTTGGCAGCATTTTTGTCCCGGATGGTGCATAAAAGAATAACAGTGTGAAAGTGAAAGTTGTTCAGTCGCGTCCAACTCTTTGCAACCCCATGGACTAGTCCCTGGAATTCTCCAGGCCACAATACTGGAGTGGGTAGCCATTCCCTTCTCCAGGGGATCTTCCCAACCCAGGGATCAAACCTAGGTCTCCCGCATCGCAGGCAAATTCTTTATCAGCTGAGCCACAAGGGAAGCCCAAGAATACTGGAGTAGGTAGCCTGTCCCTTATCCAGTGGATCTTTCTGACTCAGGAATCAAACCAGGGTCTCCTGCATTGCAGGATTCTTTACCAGCTGAGCTACCAGGGAAACCCAATAATAGTGTGACTTATGATCAATGCCATCTTAGACTCGGTGAAACCCAATTCATAGAGCAGGTAGGAGGCTTTGCTGAAATACATACCAAGTCCCTAGGAATGCCTGGCATCTGATTAGGGCTCCAGACACTGTGACTAATATTATTAGTGTCTTCTAATTTATTTTTATGGTGATCACCAGCCCTAGAATGGCAAATTGGTTTCACTTCCTGAGCCAACTCCAGTCACTAGGGAACACTGCTTCATATATAATAATGCCTTAGTAAAGATTGGATTCATGATTCCAGGGCTGTGTCAAGGATCTGGGTAAAAGAATACCCTGGTCAATACCATGTACCCTGGGCATGGTGAGGGCCACGGTCCCTCTTATGCCAGTATTTGCCATTCCTGATCTAGCCCAAGCTCTAGTCCTTGGGCTACAAGTTCTTAGGCTGTGGATTCAGATGGAGTTCCAGGGGATGGGGGAGTGGAGTGGGGAGGAGGAGGAGGGGTACCTGAGCAGAGGACCCTGGCTGCCTGGGACTGTCTGCAGAGGTTGGAGTTGTTGAACCGCCAGAAGCATTTGGAGAGGGTGGACTCCCTTCCCTTGCATGAGTAGTACATCTTGCCCGACAAGGAGTGGGGCAGCCCCTTGGGCACCCGGGCCACGGTCCCACAGCCCAAGTCCTGGCAGAGCACGTTGGCCTCTGAGTCGTACCACTCACTGTCACACACTGTGCTCCAGACCCCTCGGAAGTACACCTCCACCTGCCCCTCGCAGGGGTCAGTGCCCCCGGTCAGGCGCCAGGACTGGTGCTCTGCAGGGGGTGGGGGAGGTCAGAGTCAGGTCAGGATCCTTTGGGTGGAAACCCCCAGCAGCCCTGACCTACGGATGCAGACTCCCCAGAGCCAAGGGGTCTCCAGATGCTTTCCCTTCTGCCTCTGCACGCCCCTCTCGTCTGCCCCATCTGCTCTGGCTGACCCTGTGCCGTCTACATCTCTGCTGCTCAAAGCGTGGTCCAAGGACCAGCAACTTCAGTATCCCCTGGGACCCTATTAGAAATGCAGACTTTAAAGCCCTGCCTCAGACCTACTAATTCAGAATATACCTTGGACAAGATTGCTCTTGCCTCTCCATTCTCGGGCACAAGAAGAGAAGCCCTGGCTGGACCAGAACTTCCAGCCCTCATCGGGGGGCTGCTGACGACCTCCTCAGGACCTCCCTGCCTCCAGTTCCCCTTGCTGCACTGAACCAGGTGACCAACTCTCGCTCAGGAAGAGCCTCATCTCTAATGTCACCCACTCCAGGAGGAGGGCAGGTTTCACCCTCCAGCTCTGCACTGTCTGCTGCCTCTTAACTCCACCTGGCTGCCTTTCTTAGGTCATGTGCCACTCTCTCTCCTGGATTATGTTTGTTTGGGTCTCACCTTCCCTTTGGACTGGGACCTCCCGCGGGCAGGGTGGGTCTCTCCAGCACTCACGGAGGCCCAGCAGGCCTACAGTGAGTCCTGGATGACCCTGGTTCAGCATCGCCCACTCACCTGAACACACCACTCCAGCGTCCTCCTTGTGGCCACAATACCCATTTCCGGGCAGCCCCGGGCAGTCCCACAGGTAAGTCTCCAACCCGCTGCAGTTCACTTGGTCCCGGTGGATGCGTCCTTGGCCAGGGGCAAAGTGCAAGCCGGGCAGGGCCTGGACGGCCCAGCCGCAGCCAAGCTGCCGGCACACCACGTGAGCATCCTCCAGGTCCCACGTGTCGTCACACACCGAACCCCACTGGCCATGCTCCAGCATCTCCACTCGGCCCTCGCATGGGCTGCCACCACCCACCAATTTCAAATCGCGTTTTTCTGGGGATGGGAGGAGAAGGGGTTTGGGGATGGGAGGAAAGAGGGAGAGGAAGGGAAGGGGTGAGAGGATCGTCTGTCGGGACTGGGCATGGGATGGTTTCCCGGGGTTGTAGACCCTGTGAGAGGGGTTCGAGAAGACTGCCTGTCAAGGCTGGGGACCTCGGGTTGGGGAACCAGCGGGAGGGGCTAGTAGCCTGGTGGGCGGTATTGAGGAATCTCCTCTCTGGGCCCCGGGCTAGTGGGTGGGGCTAGAGGCCCGGTGGGCGGGGCCTGAAAAACAGGTCTGGGGCCTGGGGAGCCTAAGAGCTAAGAGATGCTGGGAACCTGGCGTGTTTAATGTACTAGGGGCCTGGGGCCCTGCTGGCGCCGCAGGTGCGGGAACCAGTTGTATTTGCGTCGCTGGTGGGTGGGATTTCAGTTCAGAGGGCTATGCTTGGGCCCCAGGGGCCAGAACTGAGGACAGAAGGGAGGGGCAGAGGCCGAAGGTCTGAGAGGTGGGACGGGCAAGGGGCCTGGTGGCAGGTGCGGGTTGGTCCGCTCGTACCTGTACAGCTGACCTGGGCCGGCCACTCTTCGCTGCGGCAGCCGCGCTCCACCACCTTGCAGCTCAGCCATTCGGGGCGACTGCACTGGACCGCAGGGGCCAGGACCCACGTGGTATTCGGCGCCCAGCTGGCGTTCCCCGCGGCTGCCCCGGGCGGTGGCTCCGGGGTCTGTAGGACCGGCAGTTCCAGCGGGTGAGCCTGGCCGCAGTTCAGCCAGCTGCACAGGGCGTGGGAAGTATCGAGCTCCCAGAGCACCCCGCACACGGGCTGCCACGACTGCCTGAACCAGATCTCCACTGTCCCGTCGCAGTGGCTGCTCCCATTCACCAGACGGACCTGGAGTCGCTCCCCTGAAAGCGCCAGACACCACCTGAACCTCGGCAGATGCTGATGCTGCCGACCCAGGGATGGAAATGCGGGGGGGGAAAATGGGGGCTGAGCTGGCTCCTCCCCTGACCCTTTGGTCCTCCTTAGCATCAGGAGAGGGTAGGGCCGAAGGTGATTAGAGGTTAAGATGAGTTGGCCGAGGGCGCTACCGAGGATCCGCTGCGTGACCTAGGGCAGTCCCCTACCCGCTCTGGGCCTCAGCCTTCCTGTCTGCAAAATGGGGGCTGGGCTGGCTCCTCCCCTGACCCTTTGGTCCTCCTTAGCATCAGGAGAGGGTAGGGCCGAAGGTGATTAGAGGTTAAGATGAGTTAGCCCTGGGGTGTCCAGTCCCCACAAACTCTTCTCTCTTGCCTCCGCCTCCAGAGTCACTTTGTGTGAAAGGAGGTTGTGGACTCAGAGACACCCCCATCCCTCCTCCCCTCCCCCACTCCCACCTCCTCCCGGTACTATGGGGGCCATATTTCCCCTCCCAGGCTCCTCCACTATTTTGAGGGTACTACCAAGGAGGATGCGATCATGACCCCGGAGCCTTGAAGGATGGACATGGGGTCGATGATGGGGTTAAAGATGGGCCATTTCAGTGGATGGTGATTCCCTCTTCCCCAGAGATGCCTCCTGTTTCTGCCCAGGGTTGCACAAAACTTTGCACGGAGTAGATCCTTAAACATCTGTTGAGTTAAACAAGGACCCATCTGATGGAACCCCACTACCCCTACCAAGAGTCCTTTAGCTTGTTCTCAACAAATCCTCTTTAAATGCTCACTGAATACTTTGCCCACATGTGCATGATTTTTGATCAATAGCCTCTCAAAGACAGTAGCACTAAGATCTCAAAGTGAATCTAGGGGTGGAACTTTAGGCATTGGGTCAGGAAGGAGAAGTGTTGTCTGAAGTTAGGGAACCTCCCTGGTACCATAAAAACCCATTTCCCTTTTCCATCACACCAGTAGACTACCTGCTTGGTCTCAGAAAACTGCCTATGAGCCCAGTAAGATCGTTCCTCACCTGGCTCCAAGGTCTGGCTCTCTGCACTGGTGGTGTTGGGCTGGTCAGATGGGGTCAGAGGTGGGTGACCTGAAATTAACCAGCAACAGCTGTGGTGGGTGAGTGAACTCTGGCCTGGGGAGGGCACACAGGTGAACGGCAGGGGCACTCACTGGAGCCTGCAGTGTCTACATGGGGCCTCTGCTAAGACAGGGCCCTCAACTTGTGGGCATTTACCTCCTTCAGGGCACGGAAATTCTCAGCACCCCCCACTTCATCTATTATTGTGCACACGTGCTCAGAAATCATAAGAGAGAGCAGAAAGGAACAACTGTGGCTTTGGGGCCAGACCCACTCACTGGCTGAGTGACCACAGAGGGGTTACTCACTGCTCTCGGCCAGAGTCCCAATTCATTTACAGTAACACTTAAGAAAGTATTGTAAGGCTAAAAGGAGACAATACCGGTAAAATACTTCACAAATATAAGTAGCTCGAAAATGGGAGTTATTATTAGGAAAAACACTTTTGGCTTGAAAAATTCGTTTGAGAAATTCATACCAGACTTTAGGGAAGTTGGCACATCCTAGACTGAGAGGACTACGAAGTACCTTCACACACTGATAAACTAACATTTGCCGAGGGCTGACTATATGCCAGGTCTTTGCATACAGTATTTCATTTTCCTTCAATAAGACAGTGAGGTAGGTATTAGCATCCACTTTTAAGAAATTAGAGAAGGGAAGCCCAGAAAATAGAAATCAGTTGTCTGTGCCAGACTGTCAATTTGTTCCTTCAGAACCTCTGTCCACTTTGCCCTGAGAGGCTGACCTGTTTGGACTAAATCAGCATCTCGTAGGGCCTTTGGGATTCTGTTGGGCTAAGCCAATGGGGAGCCTCCCAGAGAGAGGAGGGAGGGAAGAAGTGAAGCCGTGAAGTCGTGGTGTTATCCTCCTGACTTCCTGCTCGTGCGATCCCTTGGGTAGCCTGATCCTTCATCTGAAGGTCATTGCTTATCTCCAGGGGCTCACCTCTGCTGACTTTCTCCTTCTGGATCTCACTGACTGCTCTATGGTCTTGTCTCCTCTGGCTAAGGGTGGTGACAGCTCAGCTGCTCCAAGCACCTGGTTATCACATTATTCTTTCCAAATAAGACCCCTTCAAACTCCTATTTTGAAGGTACCACCTGTTTCCTGTTGGGATGCTGGCTGATACATGGCCTGAAGCCACCCAGCTAGCAAGTGGCAGAGCCAGGATCTGAGCTGTCTTCAAGGAATGGGCTCCATGCTAGGCAGGGATATTCTGCTTTGCAGAAGCATGAAGGGGGGATATGGTTGGGACTGTGTGCTTACTAAGGAACTCCTCTATGGGTCCAGGTTCTCCTGCCCTTAGTTTGGAGCCCTTGATGTCTAGGCAGAAAGACATATGCCCACTGCCAGGCCAAGGTAGGTAAGAGTCAGTGAGCCTCCTCCATCTCTTTCTGCTCTGTTATGGCCAAATTAGAGATCCTGAATTCCAGATTCAACCACAGGATGGAGAGGGATATTGACCCACTTTGAATTTTGTGTAAGTGAGGCTTTTTAGTGTTAAGCCACTTAGCGACTCAACAACTAAATGAAGGTTTTTGAGATGTATTTATTATCACAGCCTAGCCTGGCCTGGCCTGAATGATACAAGAGCTGAAGATTCAGGCATGACTGCTACACAATCTCGGCCTCATCTGAGACTATCCCATGGACTCACTCCTGGATGAGCATACACACCTGTGCACATGCGCGCGTGCGCACACACACACATATGCATGCACGTACCTGTAGACACAGCTTCCCTACAAACATCGGACAAGGCTACTCCATCACTCAGACAGAAAATAATCAGACCTTTAATTGCCTGTTCTCACCAACTCCCTGGTTGACTGCCTAGCCTGACCTCCTGAGGGTGAAATGACTCAGAATTCAGAGCACAGACTCTGCAGCTAATATCATAGTCGGAGCAAGAATTCAGATGCCCTCAAGTTAGAATTTCAGAATCTCAGTTCCCACAGCAATGGTCCCAGCACGCCAGTATAATTGTTATTTCTGTGTGTGCTGGGAAAGGGGGGAGGGGTTGGGGGAATTGGAATGCTGGCTGCAGTGCTCGTGTGTGTGATTGCGGTGTGTGTGTGTATGTGTGTATGTGGTTGTGGCAGTATGTGTACCCTGATGTGTATGTCTTTGCATGTATATATGAGTGTGTATGAGGCTGTAACTGTATGTGTGTATTAGGGGGGCTCTAGCTCACTTCTGTACACCTCTCTGTGGGTCTGAGAAAATATTTCTCATACATAAAGGCACACATGTTTTCAACTAGATCAGAAAACCCTGGAGGGCAGGACCAAAGTCTGGGTCAGCCCCATATCCCCCAGGGTACCCAACACAGTGTTTGTTGATTGACTGACTGAGTGAAACAGTGAGCAGGGGGTGTCAATTCCAAGGACAACTGTTGCCAAGGCAGTTTACTGATATCAGCGATACTCGATTTGTTTTCTGTGTCACGGGCGTTTTCCTGTCCCTTATCCCAAGAAGTGATGCTGACTTTTGTGTTTGGACTTCTGTGCTGCAGAAACAAAAGTAGACATTACCTCTCAGCCTCCTTCCATCCAGGCCTCAGTTCACAGAGGGCCCAATGCAGGATCCTCACTTCCCAGACCTTGTTTCTGCCTATGTTTCACATTTTTCCATAAATTTGATTCACATTTTTGCTGCAATAAATTCATCTGAAAAGGAACATTTACCCTGTCTTGAGAATTCACTTTACAATGCAAAGATGCCCGAATGTAAAAATATTCATTACAGTTTTTTGAACAGCAAACAATTGGAAGAAGTGAATGCCGATGTGTTGGGAAAATTGCAGAATAAATATGGTCTATTTACATCATGACATCTTATGCAGTCTTTGTAAAGAATAAAATAGACTTATACCATTTGGAGGGATTTCCATGGGAATTGGTATGATCATGTGAACATGGAGGAACGTATGGAAGAACACAGACCAGGTTATGAAAATGGGTAAATTAGAAAGGTGAGTGGAAATTCCCTGGTGGTGCAGTGGTTAGAACTCAGCGCTTCTGCTGCCAAGGGCATGAGTTCAATCCCTGCTGAGGGAACTAAGATCCCACAAGCCGGGTGGCCTGTGCATCAGAGGGCCCTGCACTTAGAAAAGTCTTGGACTTGGTCTAATGCTCTGTCGTCTCCATCTCAAAATTCTTAACAATCTTGAAGCATAAGGTACTGCATTTTCATATTGCACTTGGCCCTGCAAATTATGCTGCTGGTCTTGCGAGTGGGAGAAGAGAAGAGGGAGAGAAAAAAGAAACAAGTGATGAAAGAAAGAGAAAAAAGGCTACACTTCAAAAAATCATGTATATAGATGATTGTACATGATTTTATATAGACTCCATCTATATGAGATTAGGTACAGAGGTAGGTATGCAGAAAAATTAGAAAATATAACAATATAAATGGGTATTTTGTACTGCTTGCCTAAAACAGAAAGGAATTGTAAAAATAAGTACACTAAAAATAAATCCACATTAGGGACTCCCCTGGTGGTCCAGTGGTTAATGCTCCATGCTTCCAATGCAGAATGTGTGGGTTTGATCGCTGGGCAGGGAATTAAGATCCCACATGCTGCACAGTGTGGCCAAAAAATAAAAATTAATAAAGACATATTCTCCCCCCATAAATAAAAATAAAGTCACATTATAAATGTTGAAAGACACATCATCATCAAATAGAGACTCTTTGAGGAGATCAGCAAGAATGACAGAGCACTGAAAATAAAATAATTGAAAACTTTTCTTGCTAAGTAGCTCAGGGTTATTTAATGCTCAGTTCATTTACCACCTGAAACTCTCCCATGTGTGTGTGTTAATTGTTCAGTCATGTCCGGCTCTTTGTGACCCCGTGGACTGTAGCCCATCAGGCTCTCTGTCCACGGGGATTCTCCACGCAAGAATATTGGAGTGGGTTGCCATTCCCTTTTCCAGAGGATCTTCCCAACCCAGGGATCAAACCCAGGTCTCCTGCATTGCAGACAGATTCTTTACTCTCTGAGCCATCAGGGATGCCTCAGTTGTTGTGTATACCCAGAAAACTGTCTTGAGTTAAGCCCACATTCTGGAAACTTATGGACCAAGAGGGATAAGGAAAGGAAGGGAGGGTTTCCCAGTGAGAGAAGGAAAGAAGCTGAGAGAGCTACCCCCAGCCCAGGAAGGTGGCAGCTTTTTTAGGCTGGTCCCAAGCAGAGTGGGGCAGGATGTTGCCTGGGGTGGCAAGAGGAAGATGCCAGGGGAGGATGAAGTGAAGGAGACGGAGGACAGGGAAAATGAAAGCACTGCAGAGCCACCTTTCCTGGAGCCCAAGAAAATGGGCCACTTCTCCCTTTCCTGGGTCACCCAGGCCTGTGGGATTTCCCCTTGGCTTCCGGGAAATGAGAGACACAGGGAGGGAGGAGGTACAGACACTGAAGGAAAGTGGGGTGTTTTCCCAGCCGATGCCCCAGCTGGCCAGCCCAGTGTCAGAACAAGGCCTGCGGGGAGAGTTTCAGGTCCCTGTAGGGGCTGGGGGAATGTAGGCCTGGTCACACCCGCACACCCACGTAGGGGAGTGAGATAAACACCAGCTACTGTAGCTGAGGGAACCTGCAGCCCCGGCCCCATCAATGCCTCGAGGAACAGGTAGGTGCATGGTAGATGCACACCGAGTGGATGATGGATGGAGAGATGCTGTGGAGACACGAAAGCATGGTGGAGAGGGGCTACAAAATGTACACGAGGACTTTCCTGGTGATTCAGTGACTAAGATTCCAAGCTCCCAATGCAGGGAAACCAGGTTCGATTCCTGGTCAGGGAGCTAGATCTCACAAGCTATAACCTGGTGCAGCCAAATAAATATTTTTTAAAAAAAAGAAGAAGAACCAGCGTGGGGAACATGGAAGGTGATTTTTGCTGAAAGCATATCTTTCTTTCTTTGATATCAGTGTAAAGTGTGAGCACATGTGTCAACAGCCTTAAAAATAAAAAAACAAACCAGGCCCTTCTGATCCAGTAATT